TTATTCGTTATCGATTCCAAAAAACAACTCGTTGCCATTATCGTTACTAATTTTGTAATTTGTTATTGCGCGTCACCGTTATTAAAAAAGTTTAATATTTTATATACATACATATATATATATATATATATATATATATATATATATAAAATATTAAACTTTTTTAATAACGGTGACGCGCAATAACAAATTACAAAATTAGTAACGATAATGGCAACGAGTTGTTTTTTGGAATCGATAACGAATAACGGTAACTAGTTATTTTTAAAAAATAACTTTCCCAGCTGATAATCTGCAATCTCTAGACGGATGTTTTCACTTTTTTTAAAGTAACCAGAGTTCTTATTCTTCCCGAGATTCCCGGTTTTCCACCCCACGTTTCAAATTTTTTCGAATACTATTTAGGACGCCGATTTATCCCGGATTTGGCCACACTGTCCCGGTTTATAAGATTTTGAAAATCTTCCTAACAAAAAATGACCTTAAGAAACTTTATAGCTCTGATAAATACAGTAGCTTTGTATATTGTTGGAAGAAGTTTCTTTCTTGTAACTTTAAGTAAGGATAACAAAAGTTTTATCTTAGAGATAGTTTTTATTTTTGCTGTATGTAGCTGATCTTTATTACTGTTAAATTATTTCTCACATGTTTCATGTGTTGTCCAGCAAAAAAGCATCTCATTCTTCTGTGGTTCTCATGTAGTCGCTTGATTTAAACATAATCTACTTAATAACTATTTAGTAGCTATTTAATCACTAATGACTTCACAAAATAGCACTAAAGAGTAGTACTATTTCAGTTTATTAAGTTAATATATACTAAAGTAGAATTACCAAATACTAGAGGCTTACTTCATATTTTAATATTACTAACATAAAGTAAGGAAATCATGAGGAGATTGGAAAGCGAAGAAAGAGAAAGGGAGACCAAATATATGATTATCTTGTTACTAGAAAAACTCGCAGCATTGCTATGCGTCGTAATCGTTTTTTAATGATTCGCTAATGATTCAAGAATAGCATTATACACAGAAAAATATATACTACATTCAAGTAAATATTACTTGTTTCAAATATTCCGTAAGTTTATATATTCACAAATCTCTGTCACAAGAGAGTTCTATATTTCTATCATAAGCGTTAAATTTATTCAAAATTCATTCTGAATCACAATAAGTTTACGATTTTAAACAATAATATTAAATTAAAAGAAAAATTCGATTTCGCTTACTAGAGTAGACTTCTTTTCTTCGATAGTTTTATAATACATTTGCGAAGAGAATAAATTCTTCTTTTGAGTACTAGATAATGAACTTTTCCAAAATTTGTAATATGTTTTAAAATTAAAACCTCAAACTTAAACCTCAAGGAAGTATTCTTTATTGAAGATAACCATTACTTAAAAGAAGAAAAGCAAATTGAGTGATCGCTTTTCTTAACAATAACATGATAGTCTTTTGTATATTTTAATATTAAATGCTAAAATAATATTAATGATTTAGTACATACAAAAAAAATACATACTGTATTCAAAATATATTCTCAGTCCTAATAAGTTTATCATTGCAAGCAAGAATATTAAATCAAAATACAAATTTGGTTTGCTTACTACATAATGTGAAACCAACTTTTCTTCTTCAACAAAGTTTTATAGTATTCTTGTAAAGAATAAAAAAGTTCTTTTTTTGAGTACATGATAATAAACTTCTCTAAAATTTAGATAATAAAAAATAGATTTATTCTAAGATTATTATCAAGAAGATATTCTTTGTTGAAGATAATTATTATTAAAAAGAAGGACGTAACTGAGTAATCGCTTTCCTTAATAATAGAACAATATTTTTTCTATGTATATTACTGACAAGAAAACCCAGACAAGTGTCCGCCCCTGATTTTCATGAACTTGTAATATGTTAATACTTTAGATCAAAATAATAGATACGTTTTTTATTATATATGTCCTTTCGTAAGTTTAGGGGGTGAAATACTCTTTTGAAGAAAATCGGTTTTTTCATTCAAAGGAAATATAATAAAAACTATAAGAGATAGAAAAAAATATTTTGCATAAAAATTGAATGGTTTGAAGAGTACTTTACAGAAATTATTTTAATAATTATAATAAGAAGTGATGGGGGAAATATTAACAAAAAATTTTTTTTCAAATAATTTCTGTACTCTTCAAATCATTCAACTTTTATTCAAAATATATTTTCTGGATTGGACTTGTGTGGGTTTTATTGTGAGTACCAAAGAATATATTAACACATTGGCGACGGATAACACATAAATGGGTCATTTATGCGCAACGCCCCGTTGCCAATGTATTAACATAAAATGAAAACACGAAGGGGTCAGAAATGCAAAAGAGAATTGAAATGTGATATTGTTTTGTTATTAGGAAAACCCGCAGTGGTGTTGTGCGTTTCCGGCCCGGGTGTGCTGCACGCTATCGGTGGTATGGCGAACGCGCAGGTGAACTGCTGGTGAGCTCGGACGGATATCAATTTTACCGCGTGATTCACTCCGTGAATGATTTGCTTTTACGATGAAACAATCATAATGTGAAGTGTACCGAAGTATACAGGGTGTCCTAAACTCTCCTCCGCAATTTTTTGTGGGAACGTAGAACGGATTGAGGTGGACATAAAAGTCTCATACTGTTTTGCGATATTCGCAATAAAACTCGAGATATTATCATTTTGCAAATAATCACATAGATTTTTAGATATTAAGGCTCCTGCAGTGCGATTATGTAACTCGTTAAATGCAGTTAACGATAACGAAACTGTCGTCAACTGCATTTAACGAGTTATATAATCGCACTGTTGGCCCCTCACATTATCTATCTCTTTTTAAAGACGTCAGAAGCGAGAAAATGCATGCTAAAAATTCTTGCGAAATACGTTAAAATAAAAATATATATCCATATAGTAACATTTGCAATCGATTAAACAAATTTGTAAGATATTCCGTGCACTCCCCCTTTGCTCTAACAATCAATAATTTGTCGTAAATTAACGTGACATACAATTCATCTTCTTAATCTATTTTTTCGCCTATTTATATTCAGATTAATTTATAATAAATTATTGATTGTTAGAGCAAAAGGGGAGTGCACGGAATATCTTACAAATTTGTTTATCGATTGCAAATGTTACTTTATGGATATTTTATTTCAATGTTATATATTTTTATTTCAATGTATTATATTTTTATTTCAATGTATTTCGCAAGAATTTTTAACATACATTTTTTCGCTTCTGACGTTATTAAAAAGAGATAAATAATGCGAGAAGCCAGGAGCCTTAATTAAAAAAGATTTATGCATTATCACGCATGATCATGCAACAATTTTCTTTCATTAGTAACTAAAAATCTACGTAATTATTTGCAAAATAATAAAGAACTTCTTAGTTCATTTTGACCTAATCTACAAGCACATGACAGCACACATTGCCATTACAGCTCATCTACCATATCGCGTGTGATCATTCACTAATCTTTTTTAATTAATATCTCGACTATTTTTGCGAATATCACAAAACGGTATAGGACTTTTATGTTTACCTTAATCCTTTCTACGTTCTCGCAAAAATTGCGGAGGAGAGTCTGAAACACCCTATATAAGTCGTAACAATACACGCGAAAATATATAAGACAGCGCAGGGGATTCCGTCGAAATGTAGAACTGGAAAGTATAAACGGACCTTGTGATGCACTCTCCGTATCTTGATGGGGCTCGTGCGGTGATTTCGTTCTAATTTGGTGTCGCGTGTTTGAAAAACGTCGCGGAAATTGTCTATCATCTGTCTTTTGGTTACGATCTCTTAGTGCTAATATATCAGCGGCACATCGTGACTATTACATCACCGTATTCTTGATTTGATGATTTTTCCCCGTAGGAAAACTGCAACACGCAACATATTTTTGTATGGTCACGGGTATCATGCGATTTTATGCGGTCATGGTGTGTGTAAATTACCGCATGAATTACGATAAATCGGTGCGAATTTATATATGCGAGATCGCGAACGCTTGGACGTTGGAAAATTTGAAGTTTAAATCTATGCAGGAATTATTCATGTCGCTCTTTGCATTCTTCACTTGCAACTAATCTATATATTGTATAATCCGTGAAATTATAATAGTAGAATGTGAAGAACGAGATAAAGAAGGTGAAAATGAAACGTAATGGATAGAAGGTAATGATAAAAATAGAATACGATCAAATAGATATCCGGGAATTCCAGCACTAATCAACGCGAGATCAATCCCTAAGGCTTTCGTGTTCTCTAACGAAGAAAACATTTCGACAGGCCTGTACTCGTTCTGGGTGGATCTTGTCCCCAGGATCACGAAGGGATCGGCGGATTCCAGGAGTGGCCGCAGGTTGAGGCGTGCCGGCCTTACTGTAAATATGCCGCTAGGCCACCCTCGGCTACCCTCATACCGATGCATGTCGAAAAGGCAGTGCGACTCGCTACTTACGGCAGACCAGGTAGGGAAATTGGTTTCGCTTCCTTTGTGGATATCTGGCTCTCTATCATTATTTCGCTTTCACCACCTCCCTTTCTCAGAATAACGTTCCTACAAATCTATAAATTCTTCTTCCATCGATACTCTGCCTTCTTTAAAGGGGGGACGCTCTCGCAACTCTCCTCTAAAAAAAACCCGACGAAAACTATGCACACGTTATGTGCATTCTATAAAAGATTGGGAAATAACACGTTACTTTTAACGCCGTTATTATTACTTAGTTATTTTACTTTTTTAATAACGATAACAGTTGAATAACGGCGGGTTTTCTTCTTTAGTAGTAATTAAGGTAATGAACGTAATCGTTACTTTGCACATGTTATATACGTCTATTTGGAACGGCAGCGAATCGTAAAAAGAGGCCTTGAAAGCTGAATAACAAAACCCAGATAAAGATACTAAACATAGCATGCAAATATTTAATATATACTTCGTGGTGCCGCTTTAAAACAGGATTATATGTTTAAAAAATGTTTCAAAGAATATCCATCTATTAATTCCATAAATCCATAATTCTTATAAAAATATTTACTTTTTATTAATACAATAATCTTGATGAAGTAAAGGAAAAAGTATTAAGAAAGATATGGAAGAAAAGAGAAAAGGAGATTAAAAAAAGAGTAGAGAGGTAAAGAGAATAGAAATAGGATAGGAAAGAGTATAAAAGGAGTATATAAACGATATGGTGGTATAAATAATTGTGATATTAAATATAAGGTCACGAGAAAATATTTTATATTGTAAATAGATATTAAAATTAGTATATAAGATGTCGATGGATGAAAGTGAGGCTAAGAATTAAAAACTGTAAACCAAGTCCCCCTTCTTGGCTGAGGAAGCTGAAGTAACATAAATACATACATTAATACAATAATCTCGGATCAATTGTGTTCACTTCCCGGCAAGATAAGCAGTAATTTTCATGACATCAGAATGTCTCCATAGTATTGCAACAACGTTCATGGTATTAAAGGATTTCTTTTATTATGTATAAAATATTTTTTTGTTGTATAATGTCGCATCTTTGTGTACTTGCGCTAATCACCAAGGCTGCGTCCCGAAATTCATTGCCAATACTGAAAATTTATAGTTCATGTTACGTATATTATAGAATTTCAGCACTGGTAGTGAATTTCGGAACAAAGCCCAAGTAGATACCATGGTAAAACATGTCCATTTGGGAAGTAACAACAATTATAACGGCTAAAAAAACCTTCTTAGCAATTAAAAAGATCTTTTTAGTTTAATAACTAAGAAATGATTTTTCCATGATTGTGTGTCTTCTATTATTCGCAGGCGCCGCGTATCTTGACTTACCCGCCACGTTACTGACGCAAAACGTCGAGGACGACAAAATAATGAAGATTGCACCTTGTCCACCGCCACCGCTGACGTACCCCGACATGAGATTGATCAAGGAGGCAGTGGATGTACTAACAGCGGCGAAGAAACCGCTAGTGATAGTTGGCAAGGGTAAGCTCATAAGATTCCTGGACCACTCTCGAATTGTTCTGACTTTTCTTCTCTTCCTCTACAATTTACCCTGCCTTTCTGTACATGCAGGAGCTGCCTACGGTCGAGCCGAAGTTGCGGTGCGAGAGCTCATTTATTCAACGGGTGCGCCTTTCCTGCCGACACCCATGGGCAAGGGAGTCGTGCCGGACACGGACGAGCGTTGTGTCTCCAGCGCGCGAACAGCCGCCCTGCTGCAGTCCGACGTGGTGCTGTTGTTGGGCGCGAGATTGAACTGGATGTTGCATTTCGGCCGACCGCCTAGGTTTCACAAAGCCGTCAAAGTTATACAGGTGAATCAACGCCTCTCGCGGTACGAAGCGTCTTTCGAGGTTCCTGAAGCTTTCCTGTCCTACGTGACGTGATCTTGCTCAGCAAAATGAAATTCAAGAATTAGATCTGCGGCATATTTCTTGCGCGAGGGAATCAATAAGATGAAAACATGTCAAAATAGAATGAAACAACGAATATTGGCGACTTACATCTTGGTTAATGCAAAGTTGGAAGTCACTCTACTCAAAATAACTTGTTGTCAAACAATTATATACAAAGACTCTTCGAAGTATACAACTTAAACATATTTTAGGCCAGTAAGAGCTCAGATTGAGCGAATATTTTTGCTAAATGCTGAGAAGATAATAATTTGTGTTAATGTACGTAATGTAGCTTTTGCAGTCTTTATAACTTACGCGGTAAAAAAAATCTTCCACGTTAAACCGACCCTGAATCCCAATTTTTAATATTAATACTAATTACCTCTTTTAACTCCATGATTAAGCATTTTTAAAATTCAATTAAAGCAACTTGTTATTGTTGCTCGTTGAAAAAAGATGACGCTTTACCGTTATTCATCTTGAAAGAATAACTTATCATCGCGTTATTGTTACTTAAGAAAAAAGTAATAAGTTATTACAATCTCCATTATTTTGTTCACCAAGTTTTAGAGATTTTTTGTTTTTTCTATGATTCGTTGCTGTATATGTATTCTATACACGTGAAGCAAGGATCGAAGTAACAATTGTATTTTTTATCGTCCAAGAGCTGCAATAGCTGGATTCTGTAACTCGTTAACTGATGATATTATTAGAACTGTATGTCGTTGCGCATCTTTTCTAGTACATATCATATCTGCGCATATCATAACGACAACACTTGTTAACAACAGTTAACGAGTTAATCGTGGAAGAATCCAGCTACAGTTGTGTTACTTTTATCGCTACTAACGAGAAAAGATAACGTTGTTATGAAATCGTTATTGAAAATAAGTAACTTCTAATGGTAACAGCGTTGCAAATGCGTTACTTCCCGGGCCTGCGTTGATGCAAGAACAATTCGCAGATCGACTTGTGTGCCGAGGAACTGCACAATTCCGTGCCGTCCGCCGTCGCCATACAATCTGATGTCGCACCGGCGGTGGAGATCTTGACGAACGCGTTGAAAAGTCGAAAGTGGCACGTCGACCGACGTGGCGCGTGGTGGAACCAGCTCACAACACAAGCCGAGAAGAATAAGAAATTCCTTCACGTGAGTATTGTTTTATAAGTACACACTGAATAAAGATCGTCTCGTTTCTCTGTGTGATTAACTTGCGCATTTTCTCCTGATTCGTCTCTAGCGGATGTCGTCGGATACCAGTGTGCCCCTAAATTATTACACGGTCTTCAAGCACATTCAAGATGTCATACCGACAAGTAAGTGTCTTTTGTATCGCTACAAATCTTATAGAAAACGCGTTCTGGAATATTTCCCATCCGTTGGAGACGTTGCGCGATGGAATTGCGTATTTCATTTCATAAATTCCGCTCGAATAACAATTTAGAAAAAAATCAAAAATTGAAAAAAAAAATTCGAAATTTAAATTTAAAAAATTTTATAAAAATTGAGCAAAAAATATTATATGTCTCAAAGTAAAAGTGTAAGAATTAAAAATGTTGTTTAATATAAAAAAGAACTTATACAAAATGCATTAAAAAATTGCTCGCGTTAACGTTATCAATAGATACGTTTATAACTACACGTTCTCTCTCTTTCTCGTCCGTGTCTTTCTTTTCTATTATTTATCTCTTGTCTGACTTTGCAGACTCTATCATTTGCTCCGAGGGAGCTAATACAATGGATATCGGCCGAACTGTTCTGTTGAACGATTTGCCTCGTCATAGATTGGACGCCGGCACATTCGGTACCATGGGTGTAGGGCTCGGATTCGCGATCGCAGCCGCTCTCTACTGCAAAGAGATAGCTTCAAAAAAGAGGGTGATTTGCGTAGAAGGAGACAGCGCTTTTGGATTCTCCGGGATGGAGATCGAGACAATGTTTCGGTAACGTAGTTTCTATTGAAACAGTCGAGAGAATGAAACGCAAAATAATGACGTAGCGTATAATCACGTTGACCTTCCTTCCTCCGCAGATACAAACTGCCGGTGATTATAATAATTGTGAATAATAATGGTATATACGGCGGTCTCGATAAGGAAACATTCCGACAAGTGCAATCATCCGGAGATCCCACGCAAGTGTATGCATCTCTGTATTCTTAATATTGTTAGATATTTTCCTAGTATTTTTTTTATGTATCCAGGTACACTTGATTCCAATATGATTTAAATACTTTTTCTTTCGTGATGCAATCTGGGTCGACGTTGGGCATTAATCGATTAAAATTTTCTCTGACTAAAATAATCAACAAATCAACAATCAAAATTAATCAATTGACACACACACACACATGTATATATATATATATATATATATATATATGTGTGTGTGTGTGTGTGTGTGTGTGTGTGTAATTATATAAATAATTTAATAAATTGATAATTATTGATCAGTGTACAATCAGTCGCATCAAAGTTTGAATAATAGTTTGTTTCATCAGTCAATTAAATTATTTGTGATTTTATACAAAGTATTTCATGTCTCATATATATGTACATCAGGTGAAACTGAAAAAAAGATTTATTATATTGTTTTGCAAAAAACTAAGTAGATTTTTGAGTTATTAATTAAGAAAAATTGTGAGATGATCCCACGCGTACTAATATCCTTTAATAACTAAAACTCTATGTGTTACTTATTTTCAAGATGGTAAATGATTTTTTTGTTCAGTTTGGCCTAAATTACAAACGACGGCAAGCGTCGTTGTTACAACTTATCTGCTCTATCGTGCATAATCACTCGTTAATTTTCTTTAATAACTCAAAATTTCATGTAGTTGTTTGCAAAATTGTAGAGATATTTTATGTTCAGTTTGACTTATTCTATATATACATAAAGCATGAAATACTTAGCATCAGACATCTCGCATGTGACGGTTGATTAATTGTGATTATTGATTATTATTGATTTGTCGATTATTTTAGTTAAAGAAAATTTTTATTGATTAATGCTCAACACTAGTTTGAAACACAGCTGATGGTCTTTTGAGAGAACTTGTTTTTTATTAATCTCCAAAAGTTAAGTTTTCTCATTGGACTACCAGGTGTGTCTAAACTGCATCAAGTAACCATATTAAAATACAAGTATACATATAAATAAAAATAACAGAAATGATTCTTTGTCAGAACTCCTCCAAACTCCTTAACATCTGAAACTCATTATGAAAAGATGATGGAGATGTTTGGTAGGAAAGGACACTTTTGCACTACAGTGCAAGACATTCAACAGGCGTTAAAACTATCCCTTAAGGTAAGACTACTTTGCTAAGTTCAAATTTATCTTTGAATGTCAAAGAGAATGGACAACTTATAAAATGTTATTTCAGGTGACCGATAGTCCCAGTTTGATTAACATCATGATTGATCCACAAGCAGATCGTAAAGAGCAAAAATTCAACTGGTTGACAGAATCAAAACTATAAACATATGGAATATTTTGCTGGAATATTGTCTGCGATAAACAATTGCAACATTTTTACTACATTTACTATATTATGTAAACTTCATTTATTAGTGCCATAAATCTGTTTTTTAATTTAATAATTTAATTTTAGATAGACTGTTGATCAATATTTTTCACTAAATATATAAAATAATGGTAATAGGGATGGATTTTTCTCTTGCAAGATGTATATATTGGGAATCTTACAATTATTGTTTAAAGTTTAGAAAAAATATATTATATAAAAAGGTTATTATGTTACAAAGCATCTATTTGACCCAATAAGCTCTCTGTAATTTGTGATGATGTAATTGTACCTAACAAATCTAGTTCCAACCTTTCTCCATCTTTTATTTTGTTCATAATCTGTTCTAAATTTATTCCCATTTTCTCAACTTTCCTGGACAATGTCTCATTAGCTGTATTAACTGCTGTATGCAAGTGCCCATTTTCTTTCACAAGCTCTTCAATCAGTTCTAGCTCCTTTTTTCTGAAAATATTAACTTATGATTACTCCAATTCAACAGCCATCCACAATGATTATTCATCACTAGCGAAAAGAAAATATAAAGAACAATTTATATTATTTTAAGAAAAATTATAATCCAACAAATGGATGTAAAATTACATAGAACAAAAGAGAGGAAACTTACATTTTCAAAGTAATATCATTGATGGCAACTAACGTTTTCTGGATTTTTACGTCAACGTCGTCCTCTGTGTTGAATTCTATTATTCGAGACATTTTAGATAGGATGTTTACGCAATCGGAATTTTTAACTCTCAATTAATTAATCACCAAAAAAAACCATTCTACAAATTATGACGAGTTCAACTGAAAACATTAATACGCATAGATGACTAAAGTTGATTCATAATGCATTCTTTTATCTTAGCTGTGTTTATTATGTTTTATCCACAGCTTCTACATATAAACTAGACTGCTAATTCCCGTATCAACTCGTATTTGGCTGCGTTCAGATTCCACACCCAGGTGTATTCTATTAGTAGAAGTGCTATAGTATATATTACATATACTATAGTGTTTCTAGTAATAAAGTGCACCCGGATGAAGAATCTGAACGCACCCTAGGTTGCGTTCCGTTTCACGCATATGCGTGCATTGCCTACAATATACGTAACACAAAATATAGATAAATGCGCACATAGGTATGAAACGGAACGCGGCCTTAGGGCCATCACACACAAAATTATATAGGTACATATGCATAGCATAAGATCTTATGGATCAATGAGCATCGAATATTAAGTTGCCATATTGATGATTGATGCTTATTATTCAATGCTCATTGGTCCATACGATCTTATGCTATGCATATGCGTTTATGTAATTTTGTGTACGATGGTCTTTAGTGCGGATGCCATTACATAGGCCGATATTCATAGTCGGATTTTATATTTAAGACCGCTTAAGTTTATCTTCAGATGATGTACGGGTTATTTCATTGGCTACGGAGTATCTAAAGATGAACTTAAGCAATCTTAAATATAAGATCTCACTATGAATACCGGTCATAAAGCGCGAAAACGCGGAAGACAAAATCTTACTAGATTTCTGCGTTCCGCGAATTGAATCATTTTTTCCCGTACGTTGAAAAAGCGGAAAAACGGTAGGCCTAAAACTTTTCTCTATTGTTTTTTTATCCAAGGTACCAAGGTATGAATTCCAAAAAAATATCAGGTTCGAACGTGTTTGAACACGTCTTAATGTAACGGCGGTTAGGTTGAACAACTTGTGATAACTTATGACAACTTGTGACAATAAATTTTTCCGCGGTTGTTTCGCGACTTTATTTCTCCTTATATTACATGGAGCACAATTTGCGCGGAAAAGCGGAATGGTTTGGTGACAAATAAACATCAGTATTCATTTTTTAAAATTGTATTAACTTAATTTACAGCAATTTTTACTAATATGTTTCTCTTTTCAGCTTATCTGTTGAATACAAGCATTTTAATAAATAAATACCGTTAAAAATTAATATTTTATAATTCCCCATACCGCTTTTCCGCTCAAAATATGTCTTATGTAATATAAGGCAATCAAAACAGACACGGAACGCGTAGCGGATCTAATAAAATTTTGCCCCGCGTTTCCGCGCTGTATGTAATGGCACCCTGAGTAGTCGGAAAAATATTGGGCGACCATCTTTAAAAGGATCTTTAATCATGAAATGACATAACTGCATGTGCATAGCATAAGATTGTATGAACCAATAAGCATCGAGTATTGAGCATCAAGCATCAATGTAGCGGCTAAATACTCGATGCTCATTGGTCCATACAGTATTATATCTAGGTGCATATGTATTACAAAGTAACTAAATATTTCTTTTCATTTATTATATTATATTATTATATTTATTATATTTATTATATTATTTTGTATATTGAAAAGCATTTCAACAAAGAAAAATACAAAACCAATATGTCAATCATTGGGACATGTATGTTCGACCACTGGGACGTTTACCTTAGGGTACGTTCAGATTCCCTACCCGGGTGCACTCTAATACTAGAAGTGCTATAGTATATGTAACATATACTATAGTGTTTCTAGTAATAGAGTGCACCCGGGTAGGGAATCTGAACGCACCCTTATATATCAAGGTTGAGATCATCGGAGATGAGTCCCCTAAACTCCACTATTATCCAAGCTAACACAACCGCCCTAATATTCCGCATCTCTCTCTTTTTCTTTCTGATTGTCATCACATTTCTAATCCCCATTCAATAAATCCTACAATCGCCAGATTCTATTGCTACTTGAGCGAGTCGAGCGAGTTATTAGCAAATGTAAGGGACGTCGGCGCGACACGTTACGACAAGCACCGGCCGCATATATCGCGAGGAGAAACGAGATTACTTACAAATGACGTCTTCACGATATGTCCCGGCGATCGCACATCGCGATTCCCGACACTCCCAAGACTTATTAACACGCGAGACTCACTTTGACGAATAAAAGACGCGAGAAACGCGGAACAATGTGGATCGATATATGCTCAAGGCTGTTGCTTGGCGTCAAAAGATTGAGCATTTCGCGCGATTCATTACCAACGCCTAGATTGAATAACTACGATGACAACTTCGTAGTGCACTTTTGGCACTTTCGGCGCGTTAATGAACTTTTGGTGTACACGATTGACGGCGCGCGCGTCTGCGATCTTTTCATGCCAAGTAACTGGACACGACGCTCCGTATTCCATACGTCTTTTGCTTGTATCCTGTGAGTCTCCTACGGAAATAAGTATTAGAGTGCCGAAAACAACGACGTGCGGTCATCAGGACATATCGTAAGTACATTATTACAGACCTTGACTTCACCAGTGACGTGCTAACTCGTCGCAAATAACGTTACAGTGACGTCGCATTGACTGATATTGAAACGTAACTGTCACGTCGTTGCCACGTAACTAAAGGTTTGTTCGAGTTGCTTGTACTTTTCACACTTTTACATCTATGCTCGTTGTACACTAATGCACCTCAAACAACATAAATTTTCCAAAATACATTCTGAAGACATTTTCAGGACGGAGGGACGTCATCAGAGTATTCTTAGGACGTTCTTTGAAAGCGTGAATTGTCTGAAAATAGCTAATATCCAATAAATTTATTCATATTAATTGAACTTTTTACACTTTCACACTTAGTGCACATTAATTCTTTAGGGCTATCGCACACAAATTGACATAACTGCATATGCATAGCATAAGATCGTATGGACCAATGAGCATCGAATATTAAGCATCGAACACTAATATGGCGACTTAATACTCGATGCTCATTGGTACATACGGTCTTATGCTATGCATATGCAGTTATGTCAATTTGTGTGCGATAGCCCTTAGAGATTCTAAAAATGGCGTCATGTTTTCCGTTCGTGTTATGAGTGTAAATGCAATTCTGATACACTTTTCACTCTTGCTTGGGATCAAGTGTAAAAAGTGTGTTAAGCCCGTATCAGACTATAGATTAGGATTGAGATTGAATTGAAAATTGGCCAATCAGAGCAAAGTTCACCAAACTTGAGCTTAGTGAATTTTGCTCTGATTGGCTAAATTTCAATTCAATCTCAATTCTAATCTATAGTCTGATACGGGCTTTAGAATTGCATTTACACTTGTAACACGAACGAAAATCATGACGTCATTTTTAGAACCTCTAAAGAATTAATGTGCACTAAGTATGAAAGTGTAAAAAGTTCAATTAATGCGAATAAACTTATTGGATATTAGCTATTTTCAGACAACTCATATCTTCAAAGGACGTCCTAAAAATATTCTGATGACATCTTTCCGTCCTAAAAGTATCTTTAGAACGTATTTTGGAAAATTTGTATGTGTTGTAGGAGGTGCACTAGTGTGCAACGGGCATTAGGTGTAAAAGTGTGAATAGTACAAGTAACTCGAACAAACCTTAATAGTCATTTTTCTGATGACAGAAACGTTGCAGTGACGTGTAATATGACTTTTGCGATGAGTTGAACACCTATTGGCGACCTCAAAATAACAACATGAATAATGAAAAGTTAAGATTACTATTTACCGTATCATGTACGTTGAATACTTGACAAACAAAATACATGATCGTATTTCGTGAAGCATTATGAATTATGTATGTATTTTGCCTGTTATTATAGATATTCTGCGTACATTCCTCAGGAAAAAATATTGTTAAGAATTGTAAAAAAAATTGTACGAAAACTGAAGCAAATACTATATAGAAACTGTTCAGTATACTGTAAAAATCTCGCAGTTAATTTGAACATCTCTCAACAGTATTCTTTAGTACAGTAACTGAAATCTTGTACAACAACATAATTTTTATGATATATCTTCGGCTCTTAAATGTCAATTTATGTTAATTTTAAATGAAATTTAGATCTTGTAATTGATATCTCACTATTTTCATACCAGAAAATTTACTCAGTATTGATCGGACGCGAACTCGAGAATTGCAGATACCTCCAGGTTTCTAAGTGTATCACCTTAGCTGCTGCGCTACTTCTTCAACTGATACTAAAAGTGGGTCTACAATAGAAGTCGTAAGTCGTAGACATTGACTAATCGCGATCGATTATTCTTCTCGTACCCGACTATGATTAGTCAATTTCTACAATTTACAACTCTACGACTTTTATTGTAAATCCCGCTTAAGTGTTTTTTATTGTCCTCATATCTAGCCAAAGCAGTAATTTTAATTTTTTTATAATATTATTTAATACAACTACACAAATAAACTATTTTGTCCAAATATTTCATGTAATAAAAGAAAAGTCAGAGATATATATCTCTGTATGCGTATATACGCATATATAAAAACTATAACTTTCCGAAAGTAATTTTTCCTGAAGGATGATACAATAAGAACCAATATACTACACTTGTAGAGAATACAAATGTTATGTATATTAACTGACTTATTTTTACGTCTATGCAACGTAACAATTATGTGGAACATATAACTTTATAATTTCTGGCCTCTTCGATCGACTTTGGCGCGATCTTTTCGGTTTGGCTTCACCTTTTGCACGATATTCACTAGATTGATCGGTGGTTTCCGGGTCGTAAGCATAGATTCAAGTCTTATCTCCAGTAATAATCCGTTTCATGACCGATTGATAGTCAGAAAGCATCTCTTCACAGATCTTAATGCGACGCTCTTTTTCGAAGAAATTGAGATGTTTTGGCACTAGTCGAGATTTTACACGTTTCAGGCCCAAAATATCTTTTAAAATGGTACTGGCAGATCCTTTCGAAATATCAACAGCATCAGCAAGATCTCTAACAGTTATTCGACGATTAGCAAGCACAAGTTCTTCGATTTTCTTGACGTGTTGTTCATCGGTAGAGGTTGATGGTCGTCCAGAACGCTCTTCGTCTTCAACACTTTCACGACCTTCTTTGAACTG